TAGATATCATCCACTGAAAGATTGTAAAGCTGGAAGTTTCTTAGAAAAGGATGAAGCTAGAAAGACATGGAGAATCACACCTGCAATGTCCACATTCTCATTTAAGCCCTTAGTCAAAACTGGGGTATTTCAGCTCAGTGTCTCTGTCTGCCAATGTGGCAGGAGGAATCTAGTCAAATGATTTTCTTTCTCTTTTTCTCTTTCTCCTCATCTCTCCCATTTTGGCCTGCTTTGTTTTATGAAATTGCTAAACTCAGGTCACAAACATGTCTTGACTCCAGCAATCAGATGCTGTGTCATCTGACCGTCTTGCTATGGCTGTTTCCCCACCTCTGGTGTTGGTGTTTGCAAAAACACCAGCATCCCAATTTTGCTTGTCTGGAACATCAACTCCATCTTAGCTCTGCACCATCAGCAGCAGCCTGGTGCTAACTGTTCAATCACCTTTGGTGGCTGTGGGTACAGGGAGCCTCAAGATCTTGGAGTTTATCATCTTTGGTTCTTGATGGAGTCGCACTACCCCAGACAGACCTGGTGTATAATCTGGGGGTCCTCCTGGACTCACAACTCCTGTTCGAAGAACAGGTGGCAGTCATGACTAGGAGGGCCTTTGCGCAACTTCGTGTTGTGGAGCAGTTACACCCCTTCCTTGATCAGGAGGCCCTCCACACTGTCACTCATGCCCTGGTCACTTCCTGGTTGGATTACTGCCATGCGCTCTACATGCGGCTACCTTTGAAGAGTATCCGGAAGCTACCGCTGGTGCAGAATGCAGCAGCGCGGACAGTTCTGAATGCCCCTGGGGGGCCCATATAACACCGCTGTTACGTGAACTGCACTGGTTGCCAGTTTGTTTCCGGGTCCAATTCAAGGTGTTGGTTATCACCTTTAAAGCCCTGTATGGCACGGGAACGGGTTATCTGAGGAGCTGTCTCGCTCCTCTTATATCTGCCGGCCCCACTCAGTCCGGCAGAAGAGGCATGTTGCAGACCCCACCATTTTGACTGGTGGGATCTAGGAAGAGGGCCTTTTTTGCTGTGGCCCCTGCTCTCTGGAACAACCTACATCCTGAGGTGCGGTGAGCCCCCACTCTCATGGCCTTCAGTGAAGATGTGAAATCCTGGCGATGCCAGAAGACCTGGGGGCCAGATGGGGGCTCACATCAATGGAAATGGCTGGTGGGGTAATTTATTTCACTCCCCTGTCATCTTGAATGTCTTCAGCATTTATGTATAGGCTTTGTTGTACCATTTTTAAATGGATTAATTAATTTTAATTATTTATGGGGTATTTTTAAATTGTTTACGGGTTTTTGTTTTTAACTGTGAGCCATCCAGAGTCACCCTTTGGGGGAGATGGGCAGCATATAAATTTAATAATATAAATAAATAAATAAATAAATAAATAAACAAACAAATAAATAAATGTCCCAAGGTACTCCTGCTGCTTCCCCTCTACTGTGGGGTTGTTGCCCCCTTCCCTGTGTCCATGTCATCTGCTGGAGGAAACATGCACTGATCTAGGTGGTCTAAGAAGGAGAAGTGGGAGGCGAACCACATGCAGTGCATATGAAAAAGGGGCGGGGCTTCAATCACCCTCTTTGGAAGGGGGACTGTCATGTGATGAGACAGTGGGGTGTAGGAGAAGGGCCAAGAGAAGTAGCCCAGAGAGGAGAGCTAGTGACACAGCCAGATGTGAGATGGTGATGGAACCAGACCTGCGGCATTTCTCCTGCAATGCTGTGATTGGAGGGTGTTTTTCCCAGTGTCTGATAATGTACCACAGATGGAAGCCAGAGAAGCTGGAAAATTGCTTCCTTTCTGACATGCTCGGCACACAGAAACCCAACAGGGCCATTTGGAAGTGAATAAAACAGAGGCAGCACATTTCATACCAGTATATTTTTTTAAGGTCTTTTGGGGCTCTGCAACTTTTTACCTTCTACAGGAGCTTTGTGTAAACAACAGGTGGGGGTGGAAAGTGAAAACGTTGGGAGAAATGACAGGGCTCCACATTCTAAGATTTGATTTCCCAAGGAGGAGAAGGAGCAGGAAAGGGATCTTGGGAGATTGCAAAGGCAAAAGTAAAAAGTGGCAGGCTATGACCAGGAAGCTGTAGTGAAAAGCAGGTCAGCTGCTCTGCTTGTTTCCAGAAGATGCTGAGAGGAAGAAAGACTTGACCCCTCCTTGCAATGGCAGGACAGGAAATGAGAGCTACATCAGGCCAATGTTGGATGTTCAAGAGAGAACATGATGGTTACTGTGGCATCCTAATGCTTATTTATCTGGCAAATGCGGAAAGAGTCTTCCTATCTCTCTTTTAAGATGTCATTGTCTATTCTCACAAGCACCCTGAACTAGCACACCTGGTTCAGTCTAGAAGATTCAGCAACTGAATCTCTCTCTTTCAGCCTCCACATCTGGTCAGAACAAATATTAGAAACTGGCAGCTGTTTTGGGGATCCACCCCCCACCGTGTCCAGCCCTGCTCATCTCTAACAAAACATTGAGGAATTGAGAGGGAACGTCAATAGAACTTCGAAGGAAAAGTCTTACCTGCCACGGCTGTACCACCTGAGGTGTCTGATGGTCTCCAATCTGCATCCTCCTTTGACTCATTTGGGAGGAAGAGGCAGCATTGAGGACCCAGGTCACAACCTGGATTGCTGTGGAAATACTGGAGCCATCCTCAGACAGGATTCTTGTAACCATATCACGGGGTGGCATTTCCCAGTTCTCTTTTTCTAGGCATATTTTCCAAACTTTCTTAGACCACAAGGAGCTTGAATAGGAGCACTGGAACACCCTCTCCCCAAACTGCTCGCTAGCAGAGAAGTACGAATTAAAATCATAATATTGTGTCCTTTTCTTTGCCTGAGTTGAGAAGGATAATAAAAGATGATTATGCTGGAGATTAACCAGTTGGTAAAAAAGCCTCATACTTATATCTGACAAAGCTGTGGCCATCCATACTTTTTCCCCAAACAGGATTTTACTCTTTTCAATGTCTCGTATTATTATTGCTAGTATTAATGTGGCCTGAAAGTCCAACTGACAAACAATAATTTTTACTTTAGCATTGCTAAAATATCGAAAGGTGTGCTTTTTTGCCCCTTCACCCACAAGCATGGGGAAGCGTTCTGAGAACGCAACACAGACACCTTTCCTTAAGGCTACTGGCTCAAAGGTTCTTCTGAACTTTTCTCCATTTTCATTGTCCGGAGCAGCGAGGCCGATCCACGTCCATCGGAAATGCAGGAGCAGACTCAGAATCGCTGAGTGAGGAGGCTCTTGTTTTGCACTCACTCGGTAGAAAAAAGGGAAATGATGTTTCTGCTCAGGAATGTGGCTGATGACCCCATAGTTGATCTAGGATGAAATAGAAAAGATGGTTGATTGTTTTGCTTTTAGTGACAGAAAGAAGTGCTTACATCTAAGGGACTTTCCCCCATGGCAGAGAAATTCCTTCCATCTCTCTTTCAGTTCCAAACATGAAATGTGGCCTCCCTGTCTTGTATCCCTTGTCTGTGTTCCCAGCCATAGCCTATTACCAACTTCGTGCCAAAATTATGGGAGGAGAAATGTGGCACATTTTTCACATCGTGAACACCGCAAGATCAAAGAGCAAAATACTACTATAATACCAGCTCAGCTGCCCATCTCTCCGTCATGGATCGGGGATGATGGAATGTTATGTGAACTCAGCAGAAAAAGGATGTCACCTGGCTACATTTTCATTGTCTTTAAGTGCAAGTGGGGGGGGGACCCCTCTCAAAGTAATATTACTCCACTTTTTCTTCCGTCACAGTCTTTGAGACCTCATCTGGATTTGGTTGGAATAAGGGTGAAAAGAGGCAGAAGAAGGATTGGCAGAAGATGCAAATGTCATGTGCAGGATGCTTGGGAGCACCTCACTTGAGCTATGGATGAAGGCTAGTTCAGTTGCAAAAAAGGGGAACTCTGTGAAACCTGTGTATCTTTAAAAAAACCAAGATGTGCACTGATGCGAGAATGAAGGAAGAAATATTTGGGTGCATGATGGACATATATTATTTCAGGTATCCTTTAAGCTCCATCACCTGACTCATTTTTTTTATTATCCGGCCCCTTCTGGACTATCAAGAGATTTTGCAAAGTGAAATTAACTTCAACATCCATTCATACCTGTGGGATTTTGTAGATGCCCAGCATGGTTGAAACATAATTATAGAGCTCAGAATCAGTCCCTTCAAGCACAGCCAACAGATTATTTGGTCTTCCACAACTGTAGTTTGGGACACTCTCCCATCCTGTAGACAGCAAGTCCATCATGGCCTCGTATGTCATTCTTGCATTGAAAAAATTCTCATAGATGCTATAGCCCAGGGTGATGTTCGGTAACAGCCTTGGATTCTGGTTGATTTCATGAATGGCAAAGACGAAGGGCAGAACTTGCCAGAAGCTCATACTCTTTATACTGCAAGATATGAGATTCCAATTGGTCTTCATCTAAGTTTTAGGTTTCCATCTACAATTCACAAAATCACATCATATTTCCTGAAGCTATTCCTTTAAGGGCATCTAAAACTAATCTGTTGGATTGCTGTCTTATGAAATCAGGGATGGAATGCATTACCCCTTAATGTACAGACTAATTTGGTTGACCTCATGAAGGGGAAAGCAGGACAGGGTCAAACCAGAAGCTTGGTCCTTGTATTGTGATGCAGGAAATATTGTCAGAAATTCATTGTTCAATGAAAAGATGTCAGATACCTGTATCATTCATTTACAGGGCCTCTCCAGGTGATGGACTTCTTCGGGTCTTGCTATTAGAACAGTCCCACTGGCACCAGAGACCTTCTCTCCAACGCTTTTCTTCAGGCTCAAAGTGATCCCCCTTGGAAGCTCCAGACCTGTTCCCAACTACTATTTTCTCCAAGTGATGACTTAGAGGGGCATTCTTATAGAAAAACCTATACTTTTATAGTAATGGATCAACTGCCTTAGCAACTGGATGCATTTATTTAAAATTCTCTTTGGAAAACCATTTCCATATGAAAAAACAGGTTTCTATGACATAACTCCCATTTTGCTGAATATTTCTGACAGGATTCATTTCATTTCGAACTGTAAGAATATTTAAACAGAATTATTCTGGCAAAGGTTTAGGTATTTGCTTATCATTTATTGTTTGCTGCTTTGATCACTCAAATTGAGTTGAAAAGGTGGCTTAAAAGCATAAATAAAAATAGGAGAACTTCTGTTGCACTGTTAGCCATGTCTCCTTAGCTAAGAAAGACAAAAAACTTAAAAAAAAAGAATTTCAGAGAGCTGTTCGAAGAGACAAGAAGTAGTGCTACAACAACATCTATAAAACACGGATGTGATGTCCCAGTGCCTGGAGGCTATGTGGGCCTGGATGGGGCATAACAGCAAGACTGAGTGGCTTTGGGGGTTTGGACCTTCCAGTGCCAAGGTTTTTCCACCTTTGGTCTTGGATGGGGTGGCACTGCCTCAGAAGGACCCGGTGCACAATCTGGGGGTCCTCTTGGACCCACAGCTCCTGCTGGAAGAGCAGGTAGCAGCTGTGGCTAGAAGGGCCTTTGCATACCTTCAAGTTATGCACCAGTTGTGCCCATGCCTGGCCCTCATGACCTCCCAACTGGATTGCTGCAACGTGCTTTACATGGGTCTGCCCTTGACGAGCATTCAGAACCTTCAACTGGTGCAGAATGAAGCTGCACGAGTAGTGAATGATGTTGGTTACTTAGCATATATAGCACTACTACTCCTTCAGCTGCACTGGTTGCCAGTGTGCTTCCAGGTGCAATTCAAGATGCTGGTTGCAAGCTTTAAAGCCCTTCATGCATTGGGACGGGTTACCTGAAGGACTGTCTTTTCCAAGTTGTTTCTACCCGTCCAATCTGGTCCGGCAGGATGGGCTTGCTCTGGGTCCCGTCAGGCAGGGAATGCCGGTGGGCAGGGCCCAGGAGACATGCCTCTTCTGCCCTAGCACCGGCTCTATAGAACATCCTCCCTCCAGAGATCGGGATGGCCCCAACCCTGCTGGCCTTTCAGAAGGCCCTAAAGACCTGGTTATGTGCCTGGGCCTGGGGCCCAGGGTGTGTGAAGGGTTCTGTCTCCTGGTTGTGTTAACAACCATGAATTGTAACATTCTCCTGGCTGCTGTGTGCATTTTCATTTTTGTATTATGATGGAAATCTGTTTTTAATTTATTTTATGATTGTTCGCTGCCCAGAGTCACTTGCTGAGATGGGCAGCTATGCAAATTGAATGCATGAATGAATGAATGAATGAATGAATGAATGAATGAATGAATGAAATGTTGAAGATGGAAGTGGATATGGAAAAACAAGAACAGTCTTTCAAAAGATCTCTGAACTCAGAAGGAGGTTCCAACTTTGAACTGGTATGCTAAAGGATGCCAGTGGACAGATAGTAACCAATTCAAAAGAGATCAAACGAACATGGAAAGAGTTCACTCAAATATTGTACAGGAGAGACGTCAACATCCTAGGTACCTTAGAAGATGTTCTCTACTTACAAGAAACTCTAGTACTAGAAGGTGAAGATCAGCATTCTGGTCATTACTGTTCTGTTTCAAGATAGCAGAAACAGTTGCCAAGGAAGAGAAGCAGATAACAACAGTCACGTTGTTAATCAAAGACTTATCAAAGTAAAGTAGCATTTGTAGTCCAAGAAGCAAAAGAGTAGTCTAATTACAATGCCAAGAGGCACAAAGCCAAATCGGGTAGTCAGCGAGCCCAGAAGTCAGGAATTCAGGATATGCACAAGACATGAGCTTGGTTTTCAAATGGTTGTTTTCCAACCAAGAGTGAAGTCAAAGCAAGCTACGTAAATCTCTCTGCTGACAGCTGGATTCAATTATTCAGGACTCGCCCTTTGCCTTGTGAGGAGCCTCCTTGATTGACGCTGCTCTGCTAGCCTCTATTTGCGTCTGGATCTGGGGCTTGGGGGCCGTGCCTCATCATCTGACTGCTCCAGCTGATCAGGAGATCCCTGTGGCTGATCAGCTGGAGCAACACCGTCAGAATCAGAGTCAGAGTCAGACTCTGAATCGTGGCTCATGACAATTACCAAGTTGGAAGCAACAGAAGAAGAACCACTAAAGTTCTAACCAGGATATGCCAACAAATCTGGAGAAGAGCACAGTGGCCAATAGATTGGAAGAGACTGATTTACATTCCAATATTCCCCTCCCCCCCAAAAAGAAACTTAACAAAGTATGCAAGGTATTGTACAATATCCTTAATTTCACATACTCCAAAATAATGCTTAAGATCTTCCCATGCAGATTAGAAAAAGAGATGGAAAGAGAGATGCCAGATATTCAACCTGGCTTTAGAAAAGCCCGAGGAACATGAGACATTATTTCTGATAGATGCTGGATAATTGAGACAGTCAAAGAATACCAAAAACAAGTCAGTATGTTTTTCCATTGCTTATAGAAAGGCCTTCAATTGTGTCAGTCAAATCAAGCTGTGGAATGTTCTCAGAAAAATGGGAATCCCAGAACATCTCATTGTCCTCATGTGCAGGCCAGGAAGCCATAGTATGGACAGAACAGACTAGTTCCAGGTTGGCAAAGGGGTGAGACAAGGCTGTATACTCTCCCCTTGCTTGTTAAACCTATATCCTGAACATATATTAAGGGAAGCTGGATGTGAAGAAGATGAATGTGGTTTTAAAAT